GACCCCCGGGAATAGCGGGAACCCACCGGGACCCCCGGGAATAGCGGGAACCCTCCGTGACCCCCGGGAATAGCGGGAACCCACCGGGACCTCCCCGGGCACTGCCGGCGACGGGGGGCTCTGTCCGGCCCGGGGGGCGCAGCAGGAACCGGGCAGGCTGGAGGACCTTTGGCCCCCCCCGGCGCCACCCCCGGAGCCGGTGACCCCCACACCGCCCGTGTCCCTGCACTGGTACAGGGGGCCCGGGGAGTCTCGGGGCTCCAGCTCTTGACCGATCCCGGAATGGCAGCACCGGGGCGTCCCGGGGGGTCCGGCCCGGGCTGTTGGGGCAAGATGGGGACACGGGGGGTGCGGGATCCCTGCTCCCAGTATGGACCAGGCTGACCCAGTACAGAATCCCAGGATCACTGAGGCTGGAAAAGCCCTCCCAGCCCATGGATCCCCTCTGTGCCCCATCCCCACCTTGTCCCCCAGCCCAGAGCACTGAGTGCCATGGCCAGGCCTTCCTGGGACACCTCCAGGGCTGGGCACTCCAAACCTCCCTGGGCAGCCCCTGCCAAGGCCTCACCACCCTTTCCAGCAGCAAATTCCTCCTCCTGTCCAACTTGAGCCTCCCCTGGCACAGCTGGAGGCCGTTCCCTCTCCTCCTGTCCCTTGTTCCCTGGCAGCAGAGCCCGACTCCCCCCGGCTCCCCCCTCCTGTCAGGGGGTTGCAGAGCCAGAAGGTCCCCCCTGAGCCTCCTTTTCTCCAGGCTGAGCCCCCCCAGCTCCCTCAGCCCCTCCTGCTGCTCCAGCCCCTTCCCAGCTCCGTTCCCTTCCCTGCACACGCTCCAGCCCCACCCTGTCTCTCTTCCATGAGGGCCCAGAACTGGACACAGCCCTGGAGGTCCCTCAGCAGTGCCAGCACAGGGGACAGTCCCTGCCCTGGGGCTGTGCCCACACTGGGGCTGGCACAGCTGGGCACACCTGGGCTCATGTCCAGCCTCTGTCACCAGCACCCCCAGGGCCTTTTCCAGCTTTACAGTCCCTCTGTCCCAACCTGGAGCATTCCAAGGGGTTGTGGTGACCCAAGGGCAGGAGCCAGCCCTGGACCTTGTTTACCCTCACCTTTTGGCCTCAGCCCATCAATCCAGTCTGTCCAGATCCTTCTGCAGAGCCTTCCTGCCCTCTGGCAGATCCCCATTCCACCCCACTCGGTGTCATCATTGAACTCACTGAGGGTGCCCTTGATCCCCTCGTTCAGGTCATCAATGAAGATGCTCAGCAGGACCAGCCCCACACTGAGCCTTGGGGAACCCCAGCAGTGTCCACCCCACTGGATGTCTCCCCATTCCCACCCCTCCCTGTATCCAGCCATCAGCCAGGAGCTGGCCCAGCCTGGGGCTGCAGGAGCTCCAGGAGAGCCAGAGGAGATGGCTTTGCTGAGCTCCAGGCAGACACACCCACACCTGTCTCACATCCACCGGATCACCTGGGCACAGCAGATCAGGTGGGTCAGGCAGGACCTGTGTTTCCCAACCCCAGCTGGATCTGATCCCTGGTTGTCCTCTCGGTGCCGTGGGATTCCCCCAGGGTGATCTGTTCAGGGCCTTCCCAGCATCCAGGGCAGGGACAGCCTGGACTTCCCTGGATCCTCCTCCTGGCCCTGCTCAGGGAGGGTGTCACTGGGCACCTCCAGGGCCTGGGACCCCCCGGGGGGCAGGGGCTGTGAGGAATGATGAGGAGGGTCCAGGCGAGCTCTGTTGCTGTCTGGGTTCCCCCTGGGGGGCTGGGCCTGACGGGAGTGGTGGGAGGAACTCTGGGATCCCCCCACAGCCCCCATGGTGGCCCCGGGGGTCCATCGGCTCCAGGGACCTGTGAGGTCTGAGTGGCTCAGCAGGTCATTGACCCAGTCCCTGCTCCCAGTACAGACCAGTCTGACCCAGTATGAACCAGCATGACCCACTCCACTATAGCCCAGCTTGGCACAGAGTATGATCCAGTACAAATACAGATCCGTCCAACCCAGTCCCCTCCCCCAATATAGATCAGTCCAACCCAGTCCCTGCTGCCAGTATGGACCAGTCCGACCAATACAGACCAGTCCATCCCTGTCCCCATTCCCAGTTGAGACCAGCCCATCCTGTCTCCACTTCCAGAATGGACCAGCCCATCCTGTCCCCACTCCCAGTCTGTCCCAGCTGGTCCCTGTCCCTGCAGAAGGGTCAGTGCTGGCAGAATGCCCAGGCCGGGCAGCGCCCGTGGTGCCACCGAGCTCCAGGCACTGTCCCTGTCCCTGCTCAGCCTGGCACTGCCAGGGGGGCCCAAGGACATGGGAGCAGCAGTGCCGTGGGCAGGGTGTGTGCAGGGCAGGCAGGGCTGTGGGGCAGCAGGGGCCAGGGTACTTCCAGAATACTTTATTTTGTACATACAGTTTGTCAGCGTGCGGCAGCCGCCCCTCAGGCCCTGGAGCCCCCTGGAGCCGTGGGGCAGCAGTGCCGTGGGGCAGCAGTGCCATGGGGCAGCAGTGCCGTGGGGCAGCAGCGCCGTGGGGCAGCAGTGCCGTGGGGAGGCAGGCATGTGCCGTCACCCCACGGCCGGGGCTTGGGCTGGGGAGGGGGGGCGGGGGCAGCCCCTGTAGGGCCCCAGGACTGACTGCCCCCCAGCCTCCCCCAGCCCTGCCCATGGCTCCCCCTGCCCCACACACCCCCCCGCACCTTGGGGACCCCCATCAGCCAGGGCATTGGGGCTCCAGGAGGAGGGGTCAGATCGTGACCCCCAGGCAGCCCCCGCCCCATGGGACCCATCCTCGTCCCCCAGGCCCGGCCGCCCCCCAGGATAAAGTGCACATGAAGCCGGGGCGGCGCGTGGGGGCAGCGAGGCCGGGGGCAGCCGTCCCTCGGGGCACCGTGGGCCCGTCCTGCCGTGGCATCCCCGCGGTCCGGCCATCACTGCAGGTAGCGATAGGCCTTGAAGCAGTGGTTGCCCGAGTCAGCCACGACCACGTGGCCATCGGAGGTGAGTGCCAGCCCCTGCGGTCCGTACAGCGGGTCGGCCGCCGTGTTGATGTAGGACAGGAACGAGCCTGCGCTGTCAAACACCTGTGGGGGGACACGGCTGTCCCTGACGGCCCCACGGCCCAGGGACCCCCAGTCCCTATGGCCCCTGGACCTGTATGGGATCTGCAGGACCCACTCCCTGTGGGGAGGACGTGATCAAGTCCCCCCAGGTCCATCCCAGTTGACACAAGATCCTTCCTAGTTGCTCCCAGTTAACCCTAAACCCCTCCCCAGTTCATCCCATTTGCTCCCAGATGACCCCAGACTCCTCCCCAGGCCATCCCAGTTGCTTCCAGTTGGCCCAAAACTCGTCCCAGTTCCTCCCTAGACCCCCCCCATAGACTCTTACCAGTTGACCCAAGACGCATCCCAGTTGCTTTCAGTTGACCCGAGTTGGCTCCACACTCTTCCCACTTGACCCAGTTGCTCCCAGTTGACTATAGCAGCCCCCCTACACTGTTCCTAGTTGACTCCAGACCCTTCCCAGTTGCTCCCAGTTAATACCACTTGCCTCTCAGTGACCTCCAGGTGCCCCAAAGCACCTTCCCAGTGCCTCCCAGGGCATCCCATCAAGAACACCTGGGGTTAGGGGGTCAGGGATTGGATGGAGAGAGGTTGGGGAGGGGCTGGTTCTGGGCCCCCTGGGGCTGCAGTGGGGGTCTGTGTGCAGGTACAGGGGTGGGTGCAGGTCCAGTTGTGCAGGTACAGGTGTGTGTTCAGGTGCAGGTGTGTGTGCAAGTACAGCTGTGCAGGTACAGGTGGGTGCACAGGTACAGGTGTGTGCAGGTACAGGTGTTTGTGTGGGTACAGGTATTTGTGCAGGTACAGGTGTGCAGGTACAGGTGTGCAGTACAGGTGTGTGTGCAGGTGCAGTACCTGGATGCGGCTGTTGCCCCAGTCGGCCACGATGATGTTGCCGTTGCTGTCCACAGCCACCCCCGTGGGCGCGTTGAACTGCCCGTTGCCCTCCCCGTGCGACCCAAACTTGAACAGGAACTCGCCCTCTGCGTTGTACACCTGAGGGTGTGCAGGGGGGACACACCAGGGGGTCACGGGCTGTCACCACAGCCCCCCCAGGCCCCACGGCACCGGGGGGACCCCAGCACCGGCTCACCTTCACTGAGTGGTTGTGGAAGTCAGTCACCACGATCTCGTTCTTGTTGTTGACAGCCACAAAGTGGGGCCCTGGGGGAGACATGGGGGGGTCATCCCTGGGACTGGGGGGCTTAGCCTTGGGGGGAATGGTGGGGCTCAGCTCTGGCCCCATGGCAGGACCAAGATGGACCCAAAGCCCTGACCCATGGACAGAGCCCAGAACCCAGGGCCACCAGCACGGCGCCACTGTCAGAACCTGAGCCCAGAGCCACAGCCCAGAACTGAATCCAGAACCCAGAGCCAGAACTTGGAAGCAGATCCCCAGCCCAGAGCCCCAAACCTGGCCCTGGGGCCAGAACCAGACCCTGAGTGCCCGTCCGGCCCCAGAACTCAAACTAGAGCTCCAAACAAACCCCAAGCCCAGAGCCTGGATCCAGAGCCCCAGCCTGGAACCAGAAGGTGGACCCAGAGCCTGGACCCAGCCCCCAGCCCACCGCTGGGGGTCCGGTGCCACCTGCCACCCTGGTGACGCCAGACACGTGGTCCTGCCCGCCCCGGTCCCTGGGGAGCCCAAGGCCCCACAGCTGGAGACCGGGGGGTACCTGCAAACTGGCGCTCGGCGGTGCCGCGGGAGCCGAAACGCGCCACCAGCTTCCCATTGGGCTGGAAGATGAAGACACAACAGGCCTTGTTGTCCACCACGATGATGTGCCCATTGCGGTCTACGGCGACACCCTTGGGGCCCATCAGCCGCCCTGCACCCAGCTTCGTCTGGGGGAGGCAGGGGGTCAGACTGGGGGGTGCCATGGACACCCAGCCCCACAGACCCCCCCACAGACACCCCCTGCTTTCTTTTTCCTCACCTTGAACTTGCCCTCAGGTGAGAACACACTGACCCAGCGGTTGTCGTAGTCGGCCACGATGATGTCACCATTGGTGTCCACAGAGACCCCCGTGGGGCGCTGGAGCTGCCCAGGGGAGCGCCCCCGCACCCCGAAACGCAGCCGGAACTGCCCCTCGTTACTGAACACCTGGGGGGGCAGCAGGGTCAGGGGGGTCAGGGGGAAGCACCCCCGCACCCCGAAACGCAGCCGGAACTGCCCCTCGTTACTGAACACCTGGGGGGGCAGCAGGGTCAGGGGTGTCCCAGGGGAGTCAGTGGGTGTCCTGGGGGAGTTTGTGGGTCCGGGGGGGCCTGTACCTGCACACATTGGTTATTGCTAATGGGGCCAGTGGGGTCATGGGAATCCAGGGGTACCCAGGAGGGCCTTGGGAGGGGTCAGTGGGGGTCCCAGGGGTCTATATCTGCATGCACTGGTTGCTGCTGTTGGGGTCAGTGGGGCAGGAGGGATTCAGCAGGGATCAGTACAGTGTCAGTGGGGGTCCCGAGGAAGTCTGGGAGTCCCAGGGGGTCTGTACCTGCACACACTGGTTGTTGCTGTCAGCCACAACGATGCGGCCGGCACTGGACGTGGAGATCCCCTGCAGGTTTGTGAACTCGCCCTTCTCCCGGCCGCGGCTGCCTGCGGGCACCGGTCAGGGAGGCACAGGGGGCCCCAGGAGACCACTCACCACCCCAGTGAACCCATTCCACCTCTGGGGCACTCCACCACACCAGGGACTCCCCCACAACCCCAGGGAGCCTTAGGGAGCCCTGGGGAGTCCCTGCTGCTGTGGGTAGCCCTACCACCCTGGGGAGCCCCCCTTGCCCTGGGGAGCCCCGAGAAGGTTCTGCTGCTGTGGGGAGCCCTGAGGAGCCCCCCAACACCCTGAGGAGCCCCCACCACCCCAGCAAGCACCAAGGTCCCCCCCGTGCCACCCGCTCACCGACGCGGAAGATGAGCTCGTCCTCGATGGGGTTCTCCTTGCGCTTGGCGCTGCCGTACATGCTGGCGGGGCGGCGCAGGGCTTTCTGCCGCACGTGCCCCCCGCCCGGGGACTTGACGCGGCGCTTGGCCTCCTCAGGGGACGGGGGCACGTCGCCAGGACGCAGGGCACGGGCGCGGAAGGGGGAGCCGCGCACGGGCTGCCCGTACAGCAGGATGGACAGCACGAAGTCGCCCTCGGTGCGCGGCGTGTACACCAGCTCGTAGGTGCCGTTGCGGTTGTCCTGCACCTCAGCCTCGGCCGCGGCGCCGTCGGGGCCCGTCACGGCAAAGCGCAGGCGGGCGCCGCCGCTGCGCACCAGTGCCCCGTCCTTGTCCTTGGTGGTGACGCTGAGCGAGCAGGGCTGCCCCACCACGGCCTGGCGCAGCCCCTCGCCCGTGGCCACCGTGGTGTGCGCCGTGGCGCTGGTGGTCAGCAGCGCGCCCAGGTTCTGGATGGAGCGGCGCAGCCCCTCGGGCTCGGCGCGGAACTCGAGCTGCGCGTTCTCCTGCGGGTGCTCAGGGAAGGGCCGTGCCGCCAGCTCCCGCAGCCGCTCGCCCATCTGCTTCTGCACCAGCAGCACCTCTGTGGCCGAGCCGTGGTGCAGCGCCTGCTCCGTGAACGCGCAGCTGCTCAGGATGCTCTCCTGGCCCTGCCGCAGCACCTCCAGCTGCGCCTCCAGCACCTGGGGGGAACAGCACCAGGTGGGACGCACACCCAGCACCCACACCTGCATCGCTGTCTGCACCCCAGCCCTGGCCCTGCCGCAGCACCTCCAGTTACGCCTCCAGTGCCTCTGGGCATGGTACATCTCTGTGGTGCTGGGGCAGGACCCCCACACCCAGTACCCCCAACCAACACCCCACCTGCATTCCCCAGCCACACCTTCAGCACAGCCATGCCCACAACCCCAGCCCTGGTGCTGCACTGGGACCCCAACTGCCACACTGGGGGTGCCACTGGCACTGGGGCACAGCTGGGGCATGCACACCCTCCCAGGAAGGACTGGCAAAGGGTGCAGGGGCACAGAGGAGGGGCACACGAGGAAAGGTGTGTTACCTGCTGCTTGGCAGCACAGGTGGCCTCCAGGTCGCGCAGCAGCACCTCCCGCCGCTGCCGCAGAGCCGCCTCCAGCTCCTCGAAGCTGCTCCCGATCTCGGCCTCGGCCTCGGCCCGGCGCTGCCCCAGCTGCCGGCTGATCTCGGCCACCAGCCCCACGGCCGCTGCCAGCTGCGGGAGCCTGCAGGGACAAGGGGAGCCCCTGAATGCTTCCAGACCTCCAGCTCCCTCTTCCAGCACCCCCAGCTCCACAGTGCTGCCCCAGCTGATCTCAGCCACCAGCCTCACTGCCGCTGCCAGCTCTGGGAGCCTGGGGGAACATGGGGACCCCCTGAACCCCCAAAGCTCCCCACAGCACCCCCAGTCACCGTCAGCTGTAGGAGCCTGCAGGACTAGGACAGTAGGGGGACCCCAGATCCCCCTGGACCAGCCCCAGTCCTTCCAGCCCTCTTTCCCCCTGTACCATGCCTGAGTGACACCAAGCTGGTACCGCAGCCTGCGGGAGCAGGGCCGTGGTGACTCCCGGGCACCCTCCAGGCCCCCATACCTGGCGCGCACGGCATCGAGCTGGTGCTGCAGGGCCGCCTTGTGCTGCTCCAGCACATCCCGCAGCGGCACCGTGTGGTGGTCGCGGTGCTCCCGCCGCTCCCCCTCCGTGCACTCCCGGCACATGGCTGTCTCGCAGGTCTCGCAGTAGAACTCCATCACCTGCCACACCTGTGCTCGTCAGCTGCCCCCCGCCCCAGCCCACGGTGCCCTGCAGGCCTCCCCCTTCCTGAGCCCACACAGCTCCCACAGTGCCTCCCAGACTCCCTGGACCGCTGTAGCCCCCCCGGGGCCCACTGTGGACTCCCTCTCCAAGGCCCGCAGCCCCCCAGACCTCCTTGACCCCCACAAATCTCCACAGCCCCTCCTGCTACCCACAGGCCCCCAGCCCTCCCCTGCTCCCACACCCCCTGAGCCCCTCCAGCTCCTGCAGCCCCCCAGCCTCCCCTGCTCCCCCACCCCCCCCAAGCCCATATAGCCCATTGCAGCCCCCTTAGCCCCTCCAGCCCCCAAGCCCCCCAGCCCCCACCTTTCCCTCGTGGTTGGGGCAGCAAAGGGGCTGCCCGGTGGCAGCGCCCAGGGGGGGCAGGGGCGCAGGGGGGGCCCCGTGGGGGTCGGGGTCCCGCTGCAGCACCTCCATCAGGTTGGTGATGAAGAAGTTGTTGGGCAGCGCCGGGACCCCCCGCTCAGGCAGGATCGAGGTCTGGCGGCACACAGGACACGACAGGGACAGGCTCTGGGCCGGGATGTAGTTCTGCAGGCACCTGGGGTCACAGGGGCCATGGGGGTCACAGGGGTCAGGGGTCACAGAGAGCACAGTAGGGACAGGCTCTGGGCAGGGATGTAGTTCTGCAGGAGCCTGGGGTCACAAGGGGTCACAGGGGTCAGGTCAGGGGTAACCCAGGGCTGGACAGGGACAGGCTCTGGGCTGGGACACAGAGGGGGCAGGGACAGGAACTGGGCTGGTAGGGGGACATGGGGGAAAACAGGGTGACAGGAGGGGACGGATGGAGGGACAGTGGGATGGGGATGGAGGGTCGGGATCCGCTGGGGATGGGGGTGGGGGCAGAATGAGGGAACAGAGGAACAGATGAATAGACAAGGGGACAGAGAGATGGATGGTGGAGGTGGACGGGGGACAGAAAGGTGGACAGGGAGCGTGGGACAAGGGCAGAGCCATGGGGTTGGGGGTGGGCAGAGAACTGGCTGGACAGAGACAGGGGGTCAGGGTGTGGGACAGGGGCACAGGGACAGGTCTGGGGGCAGGCAGTGGCAGGGGGACAGACAGATGGATAAGAGGGCTGCACATCGGGGCATGAGGGGCAGGGACAGAGGGACAGTGGGGCAGCAGGATGGACAGATGAACAGGGGTTCAGAGTGCAGGCAGAAAGCAGGGGGACAGACGGACAGAGGGGCTGTGCCGTGGCACAACGGGGTGCAGGAATGGGGGAATGGGAGACAGACCGAGGGGACAGATGGACAAGAGAGGAGCCTGCACCGTGTCACACTGGGGTGCAGGAGCAGGGCAAGGGGGACAGACGGACTGACAGACGGCAGGGCTGCACGGTGTCACACTGGGGTGTCAGTGGGACAGACGGACAGACAGACAGGAGGGCCGTGTGGTGTCACACTGAGGGGGAGCAGTGGCAGGGGGTGGCAGCCGGCCAGACAAATGGACAAACGGACAGGATGGACACAGGGCAGGGGTGCCAGCACCCTCGGGGGGAATGGACAGATGGACAGGAAGTGGATGGGGGGGCTGAGGCAGGGCCAGGGGGGCTCTGGGGGCACAGAGAGAGGGGGCTGTCAGCACCAAGACCCCCCCACTGCGGGGACCCCAGCCTCAGCCCCCCATATACCCCACACTTGGGGGGCTCTGGGGCTGGGCACAGCAGTGGGGTCCCAGCCCTGCCATGGGCCATGGAGTGCAGGGGGGTCTCAGCCCCCACCCCTGAGGGTACGGGGGGGCTCGGCCCCCTGTCTCACTGGGGGGGCAGGGGGCCCACGGAGCCCTAGTTCTTCCACAGGTGGGGGGTGCTGGGGGGGTGTCACACTGCGGGTTTGGGGGGTGCAAGGGGGGACACTGGGGGTGCAACTGTCGGGGGGACAGTGAGGGGGGCCAAGCTGGGGGACACAGGGGGGTGCAGCAAGGCAGAAGGAGGCTGGGGGCACTGGGGGGTCAGGGAGGATTGGATGCTGGGGGGCCAGGGGGCTGCAGCAAGAATGCAACACAGCCAGGGGGATGAGGGGCTGCAGGGGGGTGCAGTCAGGACATTGGGGGTGCATTGGGGGGTGCAGTCAGGACACAGTGGGGATGTGGTGGAGGTGGATGCTGGGGAGGTGCAACAGGGCAGAGGGTGTGCATGGGGGATACAGGGGGCTCAGAGACATGGTGGGGATGGAGGGGGGGGCGCTGGGGCACAGGGGGGATATCAGGTGCAGTGAGGGGCTGCAGTGAGGGATCCCACCTCTCGCAGAAGGTGTGCAGGCAGGGATAGGGCTCGGGGGGGTTGAGGGGGGCTCAGGGGGTCCCACCTCTCGCAGAAGGTGTGCAGGCAGGGCAGCACCTTGGGGTTGCGGTAGCGGTCGAGGCAGATGCTGCAGACCAGGAACTGCTGGTCGATCTGCCGCACCACCGGGCTGGCGGGCTCGTGGCGGGCCATGGTGGCTCCTCAGCCTGGGGGGCACGGCACAGTGAGGGGGGCACCCCACAGCACCCCATGGAGCTCCACGGCACCCCACAGCCACGACCCATAGCCCCCACCCATCCCACAGGCTCATGGTGGGCCACGGCAGACCCTCAGGCTAGGGAGGGAGGATGTAAACGGGTGAGGGGCATCCCGTGGCACCCCACAACCCCCCACTCAACCCACAGTGCCCCACAGCCCCTTGCCCACCCTACACCCTCACAGAGAGCCACGGTGGACCCTCACTCTGCGGCAGCAGGGTCATTGGGGTGTGGGCACCTTGGGGTATGCACAGCCCTGACCCACAGCACCCACAGTTCCCGATCCCACAGACACATCGTGGGGCACATGGGGGGCCTCCCCCTGCCCACCATCGTACCCATGACCCCCAGGCGCCCAGAGCCAGCCCCACACCTGCCCCCCAGCCCCACACGCCCCCGTGCCCCACAGCACTCACCTCCCACAGACCCACCGACCCCACTGTGCCCTATGGCACCTACCCCCTGCCCCGTGGGGCACCCACTCCACAGCACCCACAACCCCCACCCCCGACACCACTGCCCTCCCTCCTGTGCCCCGCAGCTCCCACCCTACCCCCTGCTCCAAGGAGCACCCATCGCCCCCGCTACCCCCCATCGCCCCCCACCCCATCGCCCCCCTCCTCTCGCCCCGGCCCCGCTCACGGCGCTGCGGCGGCTCCGCGCTCCAGGCCCCGGCCCCGCCCCAGCCGCCATTGTGCGGCACCGCCCCCCCGCCACACCAGGACCCCGAGGGGGGCTTGGAGGGGTCCCACACCCCGCATTTCCCCATGGGGGTCTGCCCCCTTCATCCCCGCTCACCCACCCCTAAACCCCCCTTACCCACCCCACGACTGCCCTCCTCGCCCCCCCGATCTCGCACCGCTCACCCCGTGCCCACCGCCCCCCACCCGGGCCCCCCGACCCCACTCACCCCCCCCGTAGCCCCCTCCTCGCTCCAGCCCACGCCGCGGGACCCCACGGCGCATCCTCGGCCCCGGCCCGGGATGCGACAGGGAGGCGGCCGGGCCGGGCGGCACCAAGGGCGCAGGAGGGGGGGATTAGATTTGTCACCCCTTCCCTCTTCAACGAGACACCCCCCGCCCGCGGACTGCCGACTCAGGGGCAGTAACGAGTCGCTCCGCGACGCGTTGCAGCCCCCGAGTGGGGGATCCGCGGGGGGGTCCCGTGGGAAAGTCCGCAAAGCGACCCCTCAACCTCCCCCCC